AGTGAAGATTTGACAGCGTCTGTGTTAACATCAGGTCGGCGACAGTAACACAAGTCATCTTCGGAACCTGTTTCAAGGAAGAAATCTACATGTTAGGCTCTAAAGACAGAAGGTCGCTCCTCTACTAAAAACTAATCGAGATCTGCTTTCTAGAATCTTGAAATTCCTGTCGTTGGACTACGAACTGACTCAGCTACAAACTACTTATCTTTCGATTGTCCCCCCCCCACTCAACAAGAGCTATGAAGAAATCTATGCGAGTGTTAACCCCTTGAGAACACTTTACTTGCTTAAAAATTTTTTCGGCGGACAGGGAAATATTTTTGCGCAGCCTTTGTATGAACATATTTTCTTCCTTTAAGTTAAAGGAAATTTCTTCACTCTTCTTTTCTCTCTATATTCTGTATATATCCCTTTACCTTTTTGGGGTATGCAATTAAACATTTTCTAATTCTATTTTTACACCCCAAGCAGAGTGAGTCTTCATTCTTCCGCTTAAAAGGGAGAATTGTCCGCTCTAAATTTTCAAGCCGTTGTTACTTTTTATCGATTCAGTCACCTTTAATCTTAGCCCTTTCGTGTGGGAAAACCGTGTCAAATTTTCCCACAAAGCATACCACGGGTTAACCCGGGTCTTGTGAATGAAATAAGGTTCAAGGAACTGTAGAGAACCGTCGATAGTTGTGCAAAGTCACAAATCATTGTGACTGAGGTTTTAGCATACTGATGATGACAGATTATGGCCTCTTTCCCAGAAACCTTAACAAACATCCGTTCAGCCAAGTTGCAGTATAAACCACAGTTGGGATCTAGGAACGTTGAACAAACAGAAATATGTCTGCGACAGGGATGAACTAGCCGCTCTAGCAGACAAGTGAGGTCGGAAAACGCGAATCAAAGCTAAATGTGCGCAATGTGAATACAAGGTTTTTTTTTCTTTTAACATAAGCAGCCCATAATCCTACAGGTTAGATCCACTTTGAAATATATTCATATGAAGACTTTCAACAGCAGCAACAACTAAAATGGATAGCACATGTATCTCGAAGAGAATGTAATGATGTAATCAAAATGCTGCCTTTCCATGCATCCTTAAACAGTTATGATGGTAGGATGATCCCATCAGTACTTGAAAGATGGATAGTAGTTAATGGACTTGAAAAACCTATTTCTGTGAAAAATTGTTTTAACGGAAAGATCTTATAAATATTAACCGACAGTTAACAGTTGTTTCATTGAATGCTTAATGTTTCTTTAGAAATCGGCTAAGTACCTTTCTTGATACACGCTTAGATGATTTCCATTCATGAGTGACCCGGGAGAAGATTTTTCCCGCGGTATGATGTCATTTCTTTTAGCGATGGGCAGATTGCCAACAGAAATTTTAAAATATTTAAAACTTAATTATTTTCTAATTATTTTTTTAAAATGAGAACAGTTCTTGTAAAAATTCATTATTCATTGAAAAACTTTTTTTTTCTTAAGACAATAGTACCTTTAATATATATTATATATAAAAGCAATTAAAAGTTTTTGTGACTAAATAAAGTCGTAGATTTTCGGTAAATGGTGTTTCTCTTTGACAAAATTAAATTGATGATTTAAATTCCTGCTTTTATGTAATATAAATAAAAAGATCCTGGCATTTAAATTTCTTGAAATTTCATAAAATTAATTGGGGGTAACAGATGTAAAAAGAACAAAAATATTTTTACTAATATTTCTAAAAAAAAATGTAATTTAATTCATTTGTGAATAAGTCCTGACAATTTAATTAAAATCCGACAATTACATGATTTTTGCAAGAATTTCCAAAACAATGTTTTTTACCGCAAAAAAAGACGCTAAATTTACTAATACTCATATTTGGTCCAGCCGCTTACCAAGAAAAACAAGATGTTAATAAAAATTTCGACCGTGCTAGAAAGGATTAAAAAATTTAATAAAATAATCAAAAATACTCTTGCGTTTCCTCTTAATAATAACATAAATATATTGACGATAAAACTTTAGTTTTTATCAAGGTGAGCGCCTTTTTTCATCATGGTACGCTCCTTTTTAGAAAATCTTTGTAGATACTTACTATTAATGGATTAATAGATAAAGGGATTAAGAAAACAAAGTACACCTTTAAAGGGCTTTTTTTTCTTTCTTTTTTTACGTACGGTGTAGAATTGTGAAAGATTAGACATATAAGTAAACACATGATATCGTGCCAAACTTATCTCTGTCTGTCTCTCGTCTTCCCAACTACACAGTCTGCTGCTATTTTTAATTTTTGGCCCTGGACAAATTAATAATTGAACTCTTGTAAGACTGTTGATCTGGAGACGCTATTCCCAAAAGTATTTTCTCCGTTCTGATGTCTATGAAAGCTGTTTCTCTATTTCAGTCATTTGTTACTTATACATCTTTATTTCTTTTCTTTGCTTTTCTTTTGGCTCTGGTCGATAAGTATATATGTAATGCATTTTTAATGTACAGTCTTACATTTCAGAAAGAATAAACAAATTTCCCTGGAGGCTAATTTATTTAGCATTTGAGAACATTAAAATGAAATCAAAACCCAAGTCGGTAATTTTTATCTTAGAATAGTGCGTTCTGATTTTTCGATATTCTCTTTGTGAAACGGTGGCGCCCATAAGTAAATAGTTTTAAGTAAGACAATTTTTTGTCTGGGAGAAGGCAACAGAGAAAAGATGTAGGTGTGCATATGTAAAAAGAGTCTGCTTGGAAAGACATATCAATATTTGCTGAGCGATGCTTCCGATTGGCACAAGACTAAGTGAACATAAAACAGACTTGTAATGATTTGCATGACCAACTTACTCCCCAATGCATAAAGACGATGTGTCGGATAAATAAATAGACAAATATTACAGCGGCGTTACTTCCGTTTGACACAAGGTTACATGCATGGTCACCTAATGAAGAATTCAGTTTAATACGAAGCTGTAAGAATACTTGACTGCGAAATATTGAACAATGACGAGCAGCCAGATAAATAAAGTAGGATGGAACATAGATAGATAGATAGATAGATAGATAGATAGATAGATAGATAGATAGATAGATAGATAGATAGATGAAGAACGGAAGATGGATAGATAAAGAGAGAGAAAGCGATGAAGAATTGACAAAAGAACATAGATAGATAGATAGATAGATAGATAGATAGATAGATAGATAGATAGATAGATAGATAGATAGATAGATGAAGAATGGAAGATAGATAAAGAGAGAGAGAAAGAGATGAAGAATGGACAAAATAACACAGAGAAATGAATGGAGAATGAACAAAAGGAAATAGATAGATAGATAGATAGATAGATAGATAGATAGATAGATAAAGAGAGAAAGAGAGAAAGAGATGAAGAATTGACAAAACAACATAGATAGATAGATAGATAGATAGATAGATAGATAGATAGATAGATAAAGAGAGAAAGAGATGAAGAATTGACAAAACAACATAGATAGATAGATAGATAGATAGATAGATGAAGAATGAAAAAACTAACGTGGAAAGTTGATTATATGCAAAGAAGATTCTGGTCACTTTAGTAGCTCTAGTAAAGACGTATTTCTAACTTTTGTTAGTTCGAACCCAAGTAAAAGTAAAGGTTTCGAATTCTGATTTCTAAGGTAAGCAGATCCTCCTCACTCGGATATTGGTGTCTTCTTCCTACGTTACCGTACTAGACAAAATTATTTTTTTTTTAAATATCAATGAGGAAAAAATATATTCAAATCTTATCTTTTTGCTTTCAGGATCACCTCACACGAGAGCAGCAGACATTTTTGGGTACAGTCCTTACTGGACAAATCTAGCACAGAATTAAAACAGTGATTAGAAAAATAGGAAGCGCGTATCTATTGCGTTCGGCTTAAATCATTTGCCAATCTTTATAACAAAAGATCCATCGCCGCTCAGTGACTTGGATATCGTTATCCAGGTACTTTTCAGTCTGTTAATTTTTATTATTTTTCTAGCTTTTATTTATAAAATTGTCATCGCTTTCTTCAAATCCGACTACCCGTTTTTCTGGCTGCCTTTTTGTCGCGAGATGTTAAAATATCTGGGAACTATTTTAACAGACGATAGAAAATGCAACTCCGAAATCCGAACATTCATTGGACTAGCATTTAAATGCTAAGTATGTTGCAAAGAAACAGAAACATTTCATTAAAACAACAAAAAAATGAGTGCGGGATTACTATGTGATATCGATCCTCTTATATGTGTATTTTTTGTTTTTTTGTTTTTTTTTGTTTTTTTTAAACGGTATCACCTCAAGCATATAGCAATGAATGTTGGACAACCTCCCCACGGATGAAGAAAACTGGGGGGGGGGTAACAGAAATGTGGTTCTACAGAAGGATACTGAGAATTTCGGAGTGAGTAAGCAATTATGTAGTCTTAAAGAAATTGGCAAGAAAAAGATTCACTTATACTCAGGATCAGGAAGAGACGGCTGAAAATGTTTGGACACATAATGAGGAAGGATGGCTTATAAAGCTTAATACTCACAGGGCACAGTGAATGCCAGAGAGATAAAGTTAGCCACCCTACACGACGAGTTTGTATGAATGGATAACCGAATATGTGTGAATGGAGAGGGGGACGGGATTGGCAAAGGCAGAAAATTGCTAAGGGTCACAAATGCTTGAACGTTGTGGAGAGCCATAATTGGCTATATGCTGAAGAGTAGCAACACATAGAAGAAGAAAAACTCAATATATTACTATCGACTTAGTGACTTAGAATTGTTAATCAGGGAGCCAAGTTCTAATTCCATTTGGGCTCGTTATACCCCACTCACGCGTAAATACCCTTGGGAAAGGTAGGAAATACACCTCTTCACTCCCCAGCTATGAAGAGTGGGGTAATTAGTAAGTCTTTTATCACTAAATCTTTATTATCTAAAAAAAATTCTTATGTTCGAAAATAAATATTTCTGGCTTAAAATAACCTGCAAAAGGTTGATAAGCCGTAGAAAATGAATCAATTATTGCTTCTTTCCCTTTTTTCAGGTTTCCGTTCTTTCTTTATTTCTGTCACTTCCTTATTAAGGCTTTCTTTTTTTCTTCTTTTTCTTCCTTTTTTCTACGTTTTATTTTTCTCTTCATATTCTAATCTTTTTATCCGTTTAATCCTTTTCGATATATTTTTAGTCTGTCTTTTTGTGTTTTTTTTCTCAACCTTTTCTTTTTTCCTCTTTCTGATATCCTTCACTTTCTTCACCCGAGTTCCTTCACTTTCTTTTTCCTTCGTTTTATTTTTCTCTTCATATTCTAACTTCTTCCCTTTAATTCTTTTCAATATACTTTTAATTTTTTTTGTGTGTGTTTTTTTCATTTTTTTCAATTTTTCTTTCTTTCTCTTTCTGATGACCCTATATCTTTCACTCGCTTTCTTTCTCCTTTTTTCTTTTTGCCACCCTTCATATTCTAATCTTTTTATCCGTTTAATTATATTCGATATACTTTTAATCTTTTTTTCCATGTTTTCCTTTTGTTCATGTTTTCTTTCTCTTTTTGATAACCCTATATTCTTCACTTTCGTTTCTTTTTTTTTCCTTCGTTTCGTCATTTACGTGATTTTTACATTCATCCTTTCGCTTCGTTCTCCTTTACTTCATAATTTCTTCCCATTTCCATGTTATTTATTTCTTACATTTTCATTCATTCTTCTTGATCCGATATCATTTTTTTTCTTCTCCAGAGCGATTGAGTGAACATGCAACAAATGTTACGGAAGTAAAAAAAAAAATCAAGGATTTCCGCCTCTTGAAATATTTTTTCATTCAACGAATCTCTGCCAGAAATCTATTGATCTTAAAAAAATTATCTTTACTTTCCTACTGGTAATACGAGCAAAAACTGCCATAAATATTTAGTGACAAGCTTTTCATACTTGTTTCAAAGGGAATTGGAAATTTATATTTTCACTGAAACGGATGTTTAAGTATGAGCTCTTTAGATTATATGTCGATGAAGCATTTATTATATATATGTGTGTGTTAAAGTTCTCTGAATAAATATTTATTTATATGCGTGTGTGTGTGTGTGTGTGTGTGTGTGTGTGTGTGTGTAATATAATGCTGCTGTCACAATAGACATTTGTATCAATTGAATATTGCAAACCTTATGATCGAACAGTGATAATTGTTTGATTGTAGGCGGTTAAGATCGAATTGTAATACTGGACATTATTTGAAATCTCAAGGATAGATAGATAGATAGATAGATAGATAGATAGATAGATAGATAGATAGATAGATAGATATTGAACAGAGAGGGATAGATATATAGATATTGAACAGATAGTGATAGATAAACAGATATTGAAAATAGATAGATAGATAGATAGATAGATAGATAGATAGATAGATAGATAGATAGATATTGAACAGAGAGGGATAGATATATAGATATTGAACAGAGAGTAATAGATTAACAGATACTGAAAATAGATAGATAGATAGATAGATAGATAGATAGATAGATAGATAGATAGATAGATATGAATTGACAGATAGATAGATAGATAGATAGATAGATAGATAGATAGATAGATAGATAGATAGATAGATAGATAGATATTGAACAGAGAGGGATAGATATATAGATATTGAACAGATAGTGATAGATAAACAGATATTGAAAATAGATAGATAGATAGATAGATAGATAGATAGATAGATAGATAGATATTGAACAGAGAGGGATAGATATATAGATATTGAACAGATAGTGATAGATAAACAGATATTGAAAATAGATAGATAGATAGATAGATAGATAGATAGATAGATAGATAGATAGATATTGAACAGAGAGAGGGATAGATATATAGATATTGAAAGAGAGTAATAGATTAACAGATACTGAAAAAATAGATAGATAGATAGATAGATAGATAGATAGATAGATAGATAGATATGAATTGACAGATAGATAGATAGATAGATAGATAGATAGATAGATAGATAGATAGATATTGAACAGAGAGGGATAGATATATAGATATTGAACAGATAGTGATAGATAAACAGATATTGAAAATAGATAGATAGATAGATAGATAGATAGATAGATAGATAGATAGATAGATACATAGATAGATATTGAACAGAGGGGATAGATATATAGATATTGAACAGAGAGTAATAGATTAACAGATACTGAAAATAGATAGATAGATAGATAGATAGATAGATAGATAGATAGATAGATATGAATTGACAGATAGATAGATAGATAGATAGATAGATAGATAGATAGATAGATAGATAGATAGATATTGAACAGAGAGGGATAGATATATAGATATTGAACAGATAGTGATAGATAAACAGATATTGAAAATAGATAGATAGATAGATAGATAGATAGATAGATAGATAGATAGATAGATAGATATTGAACAGAGAGGATAGATATATAGATATTGAACAGATAGTGATAGATAAACAGATATTGAAAATAGATAGATAGATAGATAGATAGATAGATAGATAGATAGATAGATATTGAACAGAGAGGGATATATCTATATATATATATTGAACAGAGAGTGATAGATAAACAGATATTGAAAATAGATAGATAGATAGATAGATAAATAGATAGATAGATAGATAGATAGATATTGAACAGAGAGTGATAGATAGACAGCTATTGAAAAGAAATAGATAGATAGATAGATAGATAGATAGATAGATAGATAGATAGATATTGAACAGAGAGGGATAGATATATAGATATTGAACAGATAGTGATAGATAAACAGATATTGAAAATAGATAGATAGATAGATAGATAGATAGATAGATAGATAGATAGATAGATATTGAACAGAGAGGGATAGATATATAGATATTGAACAGAGAGTAATAGATTAACAGATACTGAAAATAGATAGATAGATAGATAGATAGATAGATAGATAGATAGATAGATAGATAGATATTGAACAGAGAGGGATATATATATATATATTGAACAGAGAGTGATAGATAAACAGATATTGAAAATAGATAGATAGATAGATAGATAGATAAATAGATAGATAGATAGATAGATATTGAACAGAGAGTGATAGATAGACAGCTATTGAAAAGAAATAGATAGATAGATAGATAGATAGATAGATAGATAGATAGATAGATAGATAGATAGATAGATATGAGCAATCTTCTCCTGAAAAGTTTGATGTTAACAAAGAAAAATCCAAGTTAGATAGATATTGAACCGAGATAGATAGATAGATAGATAGATAGATAGATAGATAGATAGATAGATAGATAGATAGATAGATCAAACTTGGAGTAAATCTATATTGTGATGCAAACACTTAAGTACAGTTTTGGGGATTGTCGTTTCTCTTGAAAAGTTACCTGTTAACAAATAAAACGAGATTACGTTATGAGAATCCAGATAGCATACAAGACAACGAAAATTTATGGTCTTGCGAGCCTTGTGATCTCATTGGGCAATCCTCCAGTACGAAAGCCTCATGCCGCCAATATAAACCAATGTTTTCTTGGCAAACGACTCTTCAATCTGAAGCTTCTTAGTTATTTCGCGAGGAGCAAGAAGCTAAGCATCTTGCAAAGAAAATCAACCTTTGTAGTAACATTGAGCGGCCATATTTTGTCTGAAAACGACCATTTGAAAACTGTTTCGTTGAACGAAGAAGTTACTCTTATAGTGCAGCATCAACTAAACAACAATAAACGTCTAAACACGTCTGAAGTACCAATTAATCTAAATTTAGTTAAATCAGCTTCGCAATAATTCGAAGAAATATAGACAGATAGAGAGATGAAAAGGAGATAGATAGATAGATAGATAGATAGATAGATAGATAGATAGATATTGAACAGAATGGGATAGATAGATAGATATTGAACAGAATGGGATAGATAGATAGATAGATAGATAGATAGTCACACATTATGTAATGGACAAAGTCCAACAATTATTTTAAACCTTTTTTATGTTTATACATTCTTTTTATAGATACAAATATTTAAGTAGATTCTCTGTTTATAATAAACTTGCTAACCGAACGCTCCTCTGTGGCCCAATCGGTTAAATGCACGTCAGGCTTTATGACGGTTCCGTATAGGATACAGGTTCGATTCCTGTCGGAGGACGAATATTTTCTATGAAAATTTCTTGAACATTCAGGCCGGTAAATGTTGTTTAATACTGTTTATTATAAACAGAGCATTTACTTAAATATTTGTATCTATAAAAAGAATGTATAAACATAAAAATGTCTTAAAATAAATAGAAAGATATATAGATATTGAACAGAAAGAAATAGATAGATAGATAGATAGATAGATAGATCTTGTGATTACGGATAAAATAATTCGCTGCGACTTAAATGTCTAGAGAGTGCCTTAATCACAAGGTCGTCTACAGTAAATTTGCCTCCTGACTCTTAAATATTTCACCATTCCAGGCAGATTTTCTAATATCACAGAGTGGAATACCTACTTAAGGAAGTGATGGAAAGAAAAAGACTCTAAATGAATTCGGCTAGATAAAAAAATTCTTAAATTCCCAGCACTTCTTTCTCGTGCGCATGTGTAGTTCTACCAACATAACAAATTTAGACCGATGACGTCCTGACGGACTAAACGCATCACAAGTCAACTTTTTTCCACTTCGTCATACAATTTCCCCATATATATATATATATATATATATATATATATATATATATATATATATATATATATAAATAGATAGATAGATAGATTAATAGATTAAATTAATTTGAGCCTATGTAAAAATACAAATCAAATATTACCTCTACAATTTGCCCCCCCCCAATTACAGGCACCCAACAGTTCTCAATGTCTATAGCGGCGTTTCTCAACCGTGGTTCCCCGGAACTCTAAGGATCTGCTAAAGGTTCCTAAGGGTTACGCGAGAACAGGTGATATAAGTTAATGCACTTTTGACTTATTATCTATTTTCTTATATGTAATATTACTAAACACAGACAAAATTATCTTGTTTATTGTAATATTGTTATATAGACATCATCCAATCTAACTTATTATGTTATTTAAAAAAAAAACATAACAATCATTCGGAATATATTTAGTGATCCCTGTACAGTGTGAAATCACCTTCACTAGTCAGTAGCCACTCAACGAATGGAACCTGTACTTAAATTTACTAATTTTTTTCTTTATTTTTTTAGAGAAATACCTAACCATTTTGCCTTGATTTACCTTGTCTTTTCAATATTGCCAATAAAGATAAAAAATAAAAACAACTGATGCAGCAATTATCTGATTTCATTCTGTTTACATATATATTAAAGGTATACAATATATTGGTTACTTATGCTTATTTTTTTACGTTTGAGTTTAGAATGTTCTTTACCTGAATGAAAACTTCCTGATGAAGTATTATAAACGAACAGTATAAATTTTATTTAGCATTACCGAAAATTTTGACAAAGAAGTATTAATTTTTCCTTAAGCCAGTTATTCAAAAATATATCCTATGATATTTACCATGTGGACTACGATGAAAATAAAATGAGAAAAATATCGTATATAATTTTGTTTTTGCGCAGAGGTTCCTTGAGACATGAAATTTATTTTAAGGGTTATGCAAGGGTAAAAAGGTAGAGAAACGCTAGTCTATATTATGCAGTTATCCAAAATGGGAGATTACGCTAAGTCAGAACCGTAACAAAAACAAC